GCCTCGCGTATGATTGAGTTTACCTAGTGGGCACGTGACCACTACATCATGCCCACGCGGCATCTTTTTCAAGTTCAAGTTAACTTAAGTTTGGATCTATGGACTGCGCGGCGACCGTTATAACTACTGACCATAACTTCACAATTATATAAGATAGTATTTACAATTAGAATCGGGGAAATGCGTAAATAGGAAATGTGATAAGTAAATGGGATTTTTGAGAGAGATCAAATAAAATACATTTAGCAATCCGTCAATCTAAAGCAAGACGACTAGTAGCATGCAAAACAGACAGAAGTTCCCGTGTGTGATCCAAGCGTGTGGAGATCGTTGTTCAATAAATATATACATCGTTCGCTGACGTGGCGTTATGGCCAGCGTTAACCAGAGTCCGTCTACATTAGTGGCGTCATCTGTAGCTTTTTCGCTGATTATCTTTCCCCCTTTCAGCATATGGCAATAAAGACATACGCCGCAATAGTGACAACGAAAAACAAACGTCCTTTAGGCATCAAAATAAAATTAGCAACATCTGAAGATATCGTGAACGTCGTGGCCGCCGCAAGCTGAATCCTACCATCCGCTCGCTTCCTTTCAAGTTGAGAGGGAAAATGTAAATTGAACAAGGGCGAAACCGCAACGCCAGACCGTCTTTTGTGTCCTCTGGACTACTCCGCCCATCTCTGACCAAATGTTCTCAGACAGCGCAGTTGAAAGGGCAATCACCGCTTCGACAAGGCGACATCGATATAAGGATGAAGCAGAAGAACAGCGATATGGGCAAATGTGCTCCATTCGAGAACGATCGGGCAAACCTAAAGATAACATGGGCAGCAGTCGGAGTAGTGGCTGAGGCAGGAAATCGTGAAGCCAGCTGAAAGAAAAAAGTTCTAAGCCGCTGAAGGCGTTGTGGATTTTTAGGCTTCTTCGTTACTCCTGTTAATACTATTACAACTAGTGCAGGTTTATTACCAATAACAAGAGCAAATGGCCATGGAGTCCGTTGCTGTCGAGCAGAACCGAAGATAAATCGACATATTGATGTTTGTTTTTTCTTATTGGACGCCTTTGCTCTGCTGTCGCTGCTGCTGCCCATGGCCTTAAACTAAGACAATCTTCGGCGTTTTTTTGTGGTTTGGAGGTTTTTGACTGGTTCATTTTTTGGGATACGCCGCGCACAACATGCCATGGCTGTATATGATGAACGTATCTGGCCAATTGGGCGTTGTCTATGGGCCCATACGATAACTGGATAGAGATTTTTCGAGAGGGGAGGGAGGGAGGGAGAGAGAGAGAGAGAGAGAGAATTAATAGATTACATAATCTATATCCATATTAACCATAGAGGAGTGTCGAAAACTATGCAAAAATAGTGATATTGTGACAGACTGGAAACGGCAAAGTAATCCTGCTTGAGCTGAAACCTGGACTATAATAGGCTTACAGCGCCTCTCGGTTTGCATAAATCTATTCTGTTACCTATTAAAGATAAAAGAAAATTACGTTAGATCAAAAAATCAACTTTAACAGACGTAAAGAGCACTTTGCTTCCGGCTCAACACTCCGTGGCGCAATTACCACTTGCACCTAAAATTACTTTTGTATTTACACATACCTCTATACTATAATTGAGTTTTACATAGTTACTTAAGGTAAGTTTCAGAAAATATAGTAAATCACTATATTTATCAAACTATAGATTGTGCGAGAGTGTTTTTCGCTTCTAGTAATTACGAATGGGTCAGTTCCAATGATCTCGCACTTTTTTATGTTTTGCTGGTCCCTAATCGTCGTTGCCACTTCAAGTTTAGGCGCCAGATGCCTGTGTTGGTAGAGCAGCCATAGGCCAAATCCGTGAAAGGACGTTTATTGGAAAACCCATTTAAGTGCCAACGCCGCCGTTTGAAGAAATTTGTCGCTCTGAAGTAAAGAGGTTTCCGCTTTAGCCGAATCCATTTTTCATCCTCAGTCGCCCACAAAGTTCCTGTCGATTTGGGGACTTGGCCTTCCTGGGCCGCGGTGAAGTTTTTGAACTGCGTGTGAATTTGGCAACGGTCTGACAGCCAGTTCATAAAGAGCTTAATACAGTTGCTCAGAACGGAACTATATATCCGATTTTGTGAATGAAGCATGTCACAAATCCTGGTAGCATCATCGTACGAACCTCGAAAGTTCATTCTAAAGACGCGTTTTTTTCCAATTTAGTACATTGGTAAGGGTAAGTAAAATTTTTCCCCTACAATCTTAACTTTCATCAGACAAAGTGGCGACCTGTTTCGTCATATTCCAGCATAACTCTTTGACATCATCCTTAGCTTTCATATGCTTTTTTGTTGATGGCGTTATGAGAGAGTCATCGCACTCATTCGTTCTCCATCTGGTCGAATCGTTTGAGCATTGAATAACAACAGTCCGATCAACAAAACAGCGAAACGAGTCTTCATCTAATACTACAAATACAATTACGGCAGAGCTACACCGTCCTCAGTACGACGCCATAACAGCAGTAGAACTGATCGCTAGCATATGGCTAAGCGCGATTAGAACACGATACCAGTGGAACTATAGGATACAATCTCCGCATTCGTTGTTATCACTCTGGTATCACCGCAGCTTCGATTGGTACTTGGTGTCATTCTTACTTTCCAACTCGCTACAAGCAAGACTACGAACACTGGTTCAGCCATACACCGAGAACTGACGACTTTGTAACCGAGGGTGTCGCGAAGTCAGCGGGCAGCAGCAGTCAACACTATCTCTAAGGGGATCTGAACCGGAGATCGAGATGGCGATGAGGCCGTCTGATGAAGCGTTCGCTCTGGCTAGTCTAGTGTTCCTTACCTGTGATTGTCCTTTACACGCGATACAAACAAACATCAATAGCTGGATAGACTTTCACTTATAGTGACTGCAAGTAGTCTGGTGACAGCATTGTTGCAGCGTTCTGCTTAGACCGTGGCATTTTCATTATCTTGACCTTTTCGACTTCTGCGGGTGCCTCGGTTTTGTTGGCTGTCAGCGACAGCGGCCAAGGCTGGCTTATGGGGACTTGAACTTGAGAGAATCTCGAATCGACGGAATCAGCCCGCAAGATAGATACAAGGAGCTCGCTAGACCCCGCTTCCAAAGACTGTCCTTGATAGGTGCTCAAATATCGAACTGATCATCTGCCGCAATCGATATGGCAATTGACTGTACAATCCACGGGTCCGGAGTCATGTTAGTGTAAGTCGTTGCTACTGTTGCTATTGGTATTATTATGATCCAGCGAAGTTAACCGGCCATCGAACTTCGAAGATAGCCCGAACGCGATTCACGTGGGCAACTGGACGAACTACTGGATCAGTAACTTTATTTCGATGCTCTAAACGATTTAAACTTATTAAGCAGTTGTGTTAGAAACGTCCACTGTCAGATCGTTCATTTACCAATCAACTAACCTGAATAGCGACAAAATAGACATAAACAAGTTATTGATAAATGACGCGTATCAGTGAGAACAGGCACAAGAAATCAATGTTGCTAGGCTTTATGCTTAGCAACATTGCTTAACACATGCTTAGTCGGACAAAGAACTCATGACAAGAACAATCAGTAATTATGATGCTGCATAATGCTGATATAGTGCCGCTAATCGGAGCGACATGTTGAAGCTTTTGCGTGTTCGAATCCTCTCTAGCTGTTTTTCAACAATAAACTGGTCCATGCATCTGGGTTTCTTATAAAACAGCGTCTTTAACCTGTCTGGATACCGGATATTGACATATGACATCCTAAATTTCGTGTTTACTGCACTCGCTTTTCACTAGGATATCGAATAGAAAGTAGAACAAATAGACCGACCGTTTGGCTAAGCCTTTTAATAAAAGGATGTCCTATCTAACTGGCCTTTATTTGTTTTATATCGTAACTGGTCTAATGATTTATATCAAGCTTGCATCGAATACACGCTGAGGCTATCAGTTTAACCTTTCGTTCCAGTACATCATCAATAAAAGAGTCAAACCTCCAATTTACGCAGCTCCCCTCATTGTTAATTTGCGAATGCTGGCTTGGCCCATTCATGGACCCCCCGAAGTAACACGCTTACAGATGAGCCCGCCGAATACAGGGGAACAGTTAGGTGTGAGCAACCTTGCTCTGAAATCTGACTCCACTTACTAGTAACTGTTACTCGCGTAACTCTGAAGCTATTCCTGAGGGGTAGAAACATGGTGAAGCTGCGTTGTCGACCGCACCAAACGAGAAAACAGTCGACACATACGACGAAGGTGAACTACGAGGAGTTAACACAAATGCAAAACACGACCGGAGCTGATAACGAAGCACGACGATGTAAGCGCGTTTACTTTCACCGACGAATGCCTGGTCGATAGGTCCAAAGGCAGACCTCTTCATCTCTTTTTTTTTGGAGCAGGAACACAGCTACTGGTGTTCGATACCGATGAGTAGTTTACCATAGAGAATTACACTAAACCGATGGTGAATTTCACGCACAAAACACAGTATATGTCTAAAACATGATCAGTTTGCTTTATGTGTTCGTATTGCGTTCGGAATTTGTGTGCATTTCACAGATTGACAGGCAATGACGCTATTAATAAAGAGATTTGTGTCTGTTTCTCTGGTAGAAACGATTATTTTATCCATATTTCCTTTTAATGGTCGGGCGACATGTATGGGGTAGATACGTGACGGTGTCTATACACTATAGTTTAGTTGAACGATTGTAAAAACCGTTCGGGCTCGTTTACGAAAGCAATATTGGCGGTACTTCGTGCTGCGTTTCAAATAAGCTCAGTTCCAATGCACTGCGTCTATGCTAGGTTCAAAACAACTTTAGGAATCTTCAAAAATATTCTAGACACTGATGTGCTATTTATACGTAAAACAAATGGAAAAAAAGGTGTAATTTTTATTATATGAAATGCGCGCTTTGTATGTCCAACGTAGAAGGATACAGATCTTCTCGTCACAAAAAACAGCGTGTGTCTGCCCTCTGCTACTTGAATAGCGCCTACAGTACATTCCATACAACCATTTAGGGGTTTTAGTTCACACAGCAGGAAGTAGCGCTAGCACTAACAGCAAAAACTGCAAGACAATTCTATAGAGATCACGAGACAATTTCGAATGGACACGCGCGAAATCACCGTTTCAAGGTACATCGCCGCTATTTTAGGATGTTCTGATGAAAGTAACGGTTACAGCCTATTACTCTGCATAATTAGGCAGGCTGTCATTGGTTAATTTAGAATTTTGACCAGCGTTCGATGGGCATGATAAAGAATACTCGTAAATAACCGTTTTTCTATCTACAATTTTATTTAAGCTGTATGATCTCGGTGACCGGCTTCATCTGTACAATTGCAGACTGGCATTGGAAACAACAAAAAAATAACCGAATACAAGCTCGCACGAAGTTAAGATAGTTATTTAATAGCGGTCATGCATTGCATTGAAAATCAACATCGAATCGGAGAGATATTTTTCACGCAGTTCCATTGGTGATGTTGCTATTACTCTAAAGGTGGTTTTTTTTACACTTCCATTGTTTCTCGCCTTCAAAGCCTTTCGAATACACATGGTGCTAACAGATTAAGGGAAGGCGGCGTCTTTCTGATCATTATATTTATACGGTCGTTTTTTTCGAGATTTACCAAATCGTGTTGGTATTGTCGGAAGCTCGTAAAGGCCACCGTTTCACAGGGTTTCCTTACCTGTCTCTTAAAAAAAAGGTTAAACGATTTATACAGCATAATATAGGCAGTAACATAAAAGCAAAGAGCAGAGCATTTAGGATTCAACGATAAATTCCAAGCAAAATTTTTGTTGAAGAACGGAGTGATACTAATATTCAGTGTGTTTTTCAGATCATAGTTTTGAGATATGAATTGTACATGGTAGAGGTCAATCTGTCTAAGTCTCTGTCATTTTTACACTGAGGGTCGAGCAATGCGTGTCCAGTAGTTACACGTTCGAGATACGAAACGTTTAGGTTTATGACGCCCTTCGACTGCATCAAAACGACACACTTTAGGAGGATACCTTTTTGACGCTAAAACTAAAGATTTTCTTGGAACAGTCCGTCTGTATTCGGTTATAAGAAGAAGTGTAATCGCTATGTCTTCAATTTGTTGTCGCTCGATTGAACGCAATGATGTAATGTAGGCACAGGTACTGCGTCGACTTTTTGATAGTTTCAGCAACTTACGATTTCCACTGCGTGTTATTAGGACAATTCACGACTTTACAAATTGCCTATGACCACCATCAACCGATGACTATCTGGCCGCCCTTGCATCAAAGCAATCACCAACTGCTTCCTCGGTTTAACAGTACGCACGAACACTCGTGTCGCACCTGAAGCATCGATGACATCACAAAAAACCGAAGGGTAGCAAATGATACAAAAATTTTCTTCGATTATAAAGTAACAGTAGCAGTCCTAGTATAAATTAGATATCTAACTATAAAGCGATTCTTCATGGTAGTATCGTACGTAAAAGTGGAAACATTTACTAGCAACCCTTATATGGGTTACTTATATATTAAGTAGTTATGCATAATTCGCGGCAGAAATGAAATCATTAGGATAATAAATATAAACATAAATAGAGCACAATCGCATATCCAAATATCCCTGATTAGCAAAATCTAACGATATCTGTAGCTTTGATAGCGTAGCAAGCGCTCGATGACTTACGGGTCCCGTCACTTATCGGTTGTGGCGCCCTAGCAAAGGGGAGCCATAGCAAAGTAACACGCAAACTGTAAACAGTCGTTGAAAAAAGCCAACTGGGCACTGATAATGCCAATATCGATAAATGTCTCCTTTCCGACCGTGCATCTAACAGGAAGGACAAAACGGGGTAAAGCATTCGCTTCAGTGGTAGAAACGATGTTAGCCATGTATTAACGTATACTTCCCCTTGATGATTTGAAGCTTTTCGACAAGAAACAGTATGTTACCATTGACTTTAGGCATAATATAAAGCAAATTAGTAAATGAATTTTATGTATTACAAAAGGTCAATCTAGCTAGCTTTTTTTCTAAGCAATGATTACGTGAAAACCTCAACACCTTCTACAACAAAGAAAGCATTGTGTATGATTAAATTTGTTAACCAATTATCAGTTCGGTTTCGTTGCGCGTTATCGGCATTGTACCAAATTTCGCGTGTGCTATATACGTACATCAAACGCTCCCGCTTTCCTTGCTGTTCGCTAACGTTTGCTCAGAGACAAAGGGACTTGATTCACTTGCTACGGAGCTTTTCCAATAACTCCTTTGTCGTGTGATGTCCATTGGATTATCTTCATTAGCCATTTAGTGACAGTTTGAGGCGCCCTCTGTGGTGCTCAATGAAACTGTCAACCCAACTGTCATTGGGTTCCTGTCCAAATACGCCCGCACACAGCGATCAGCTGTTTTGTCGAAACGGGGGATACGGGTATGAGAAAACCATGTGTTTACTTAGCAAAGTAACAGACGGTTTCTTGAATTGAAGTTAATTTGCAGAGGTAGTATTATGGGTGCTGTGAGACAAAGGTTACTAGAGATTTTTACTTCTTTTAGTTGAAACGCTGGCAGAACCGAGTTTAGTGGACTAATGGGGGCTGCATTGCCGCAGCTAACTGTTTAGTTAAACGATTAAGTACACAGAAGAAACTTGATGGAGGACAAATCCTGGGCTCAGCTTCTGAAGTCCTAATAATGCAACCAATGTGGAATAACCACGGAGTTAAAAATCTGTATGGTTAAAAACTTGAGGCAGGCAAATTTCTCAGGCACAGCGCTTTTGTTAGTACCGTTGATTTCACTACCCCATCAGACAATGTGATTTGAGTCGTCGTTGATCTTCTTAGTATTTAGTAAACCCATTTACATGATTATAACATACCATCTTGTTAAGTTTCTAGTTCTAATAGTGTAATTTTTCGAATTTGTTACAGAGTTTCCTAAATTAGTCAATTGAACATGAATCCAGAGGTGATCGTTTTGGGAGGATGTGTGACCGATTTTACCGTGTATACACCGCGTTTGCCAGTTCCCGGTGAAACTGTTGTGGCTAAACTTTTCCAGTACGGCTATGGAGGTACATATTTAAATAGCCTGAACTATGCTACGTTTCGCCTCGAATTTCTCCAACTTAAGCCATCGCTAGTATCTTGCTTCTTACATATCGTTCTAAATTAGATTATTTTGAATTTTCTAAGTACATATCATTGGCACTATAATACATAAAAGTTAATTGACTAAGCGTTGTACTATTTCTATTTAGGCAAAGCTGCGAACTCCGCGTATATGTGTGTGTTACTCGGAGTACATACGATTCTCATAAGCAAATTAGGTGACGACTACTTTGGTCAGAATTACTTGAAACACCTCGAAGCCATCGGCATCAACGTCCGTCATGTCACAGTTGAGAAGAACTGTTCTAGCCCCATAGCTAACATTACAGTAGCAGACAGCGGCGAAAATTCAATCGTCTACTTTCCGGGCTGCCTTGACCGCATTGCCGAAACTGATATTAAAAGTGCTGAGAGTATGTTTAAGAGGGCAAAGGTAGGTCTTTGGCCCCAGCAGGCCTGGTCAACTATTTCAGTAACAGCTATATATCCTGTGCTTCATGTTGTTTGTGTGCCAGCGCTAAACGCATATGTTAAGTGCAAGATCAGAATACGTGCGTTTTCCACGAGACGTAAGCTAACTTAGTAATAAGTTGATGGCTAGCTTAAGCAAGCTCATAGTATATACTGAACAAATACCAGATCGAGTGCCCGTAAAGCTCTGATCTGTAATATGTTAATTTCACTTTAAATCGCCTAGTGATCATTGCGTATAGTCGAAGTCACATATTATTGACATAAAATTAAAATATGCGAGATATGTACTTGCTTTTGCTATCCATACATCCCGGTACATGAAACAACATATTATTGCTACACCAACAATTCCGCATTGATGCTGTAAAATTAGGGATAAAAAATTTACAAAAGCGTTTTGCGTTGCTTGGCCACGCAGGTATTTGCTTGTGTTTTTGAAGCCCCAATGACGGTTATTCGACTCGCGTTGCAATTGGCGCGTCAGCATAGAATGATCACGTACGTAAACGCAGCTCCGAACGTGTCCGAATCTCTACTAAAAGACTGTCTTCCTTTGATCGATTATATCTGTGTCAACGAAACGGAAGGATCTACCCTCGTATGTACGATTAAGGGCGAACCTCAAGGTCTATTGAGCGACCAAGAGGTTGTTGACTTTCTATTGTCTGCAGGGGTCGGTACGGTAATAATAACCAAAGGAAAAAAAGGCGCAGTGTTCTCTCAAGAACCGACCAAGCTGCAGTCGGTTGCGGCCGAACCGGTTACAAATGTTGTGGATACTACAGGTGCAGGCGACGCTTTCAATGGTAGTTTTATTTATCACCTAGCTCGAAATATTCAACTTCCACTTGAAGACAAAATTCGTAAGGCCTGCGGCATTGCATCGCTCAGCGTTCAGAAGAAGGGCACGCAGCCGAGTTATCCGAAAAAAGAAGAACTGGCTGACAAATTTCTTTAAACTGCCTATCCAATTTGTGACAAAAATTTGGTTCTCTGAAATAAAACAGAATGTATGGATCCTTTGTGTGTTTAATAAAGGATTTCTATGAAAGGGTCGCCGATAATAATTAGGCGATGCAGCATCCGTATCGTGCACTAATTGTATGAGTTGACGTTTCTATTATTATATACTTACATTATGGATTAACATAGCTCTCAGTCTATTCAAGCTTAGGTAAAAGGTTTCATCTGACTGAGGTTCAACTGAACTATCTTCGTATTACTCACTATCAGACAAAATATTAGATTTTAATACACTTGTTTTAATTATATTTTTCGCTATAAAAACAATATCCAGCCAATTGCGTTTTGATGTAAAATCTGCACTGACAATTTTACCGAAAAGCACCCTGAACGTGGTACAGGTTTAGCGTTACTTTAACATCGTTCGATCATATGGTGGATGCCTTATGCCCTATATTCATATATATATACGAAAGTAGAAAGATGGTACATTTAGATAGAAACGCATACAATTTTGCTGAATGAATCGTGGAATCCTCGTTCTCATAAGACAAATCTTTGGTGCGTATTGTCATTTTTCAGCATTTCGCTTGCTCATCCGATCGGCTTTTGCTTAACATATGTTACCTAACACCCCACGATGCCGTCGAACTCGATTGCAACAGATCACTAGATAAACTACTCAGGGACGCAGCAGTGGCATTTTCCCGCACTTTTAGGGGTTGTGGCTATTGTGTATATCAACTAGCCTGTCTTAGCAACAATTGAAGAGACTGCGACGAATCCTAATACATCGATAGAAGTTTCTATACCTAAATAATATTTCTAGCCAACGCTACCTGCTGTAGGTCGTTGTCATTTCCTCTGTTATCATTTACAAAAGAGACAGACAGTTGAGCGTGAGGTATTCATAAATAAGGTGATGTTTCAATAGAAACTGAAGTGCGATTTATTTACAACGCTTAAGAGGTTCATGTAATTCAAGCGGTATATCTGTAATACGAGGTAACGTAACTGTTGATAACAGAGCTCTTTAAAAAAAGGAATGAAAAATAATACTGGAAGCATTTGGTGCTATCACGACATCAAATCAAGACAATTCTTTTGCTACGATCTGCACAGGGATGCATCATCTCTTCAGTTTACTCAGACCAGTCCAAAGTGCTTTCAATATCTTTTTTTGTAAATGTATTTTAGAAATGAACATTTGTGTGTGATTAAATGCTTGACTGAGTGTTTTCTTAACAAAAGCAAACATTTTTACTGGAAGGTCTTTGGCACGCAAGTGGTAATTCCAAATAAAATGTATAGAAAGACATTCAATAGCACTTACTAGACCCTATTTTGAGTATTTAGTTGCCAAAACAGTAATTTGCTTTGAGGTTGCGCGGCACCATATTTTACATCCTTAAGTTATATGTAACACCGGAACTGGATACAAATCGTTCATGACATATTAGTCATCACATATACGAAGATACGAAAAAAGAACGCGTAGTACAAATTGGATGAAGTTTCTGCCGCTGCAAAGTAGGCTGTTTCAAACTCGTCTCCAGGCCAAATACGAAAGTATTGCCTCCTCTTATTACATGTTCACTTATACACTGCATATTTCATACAATGTATCTGATCCATTGTTTATGCCTTGTATCTTGTACTGCAGAGCATCCTAGGAGGATGTGTTACCTCACAGTATAGATCAAACTCGGAATTTCCGACTCCCAGGAGGACGCTTGCCGCGCATAACTTCCACTGCAACTATGGCGGTATAGGCATTCAATTGGAAATGCGCAAAGAAGTTGCCTAGAGCAATGATATCGAATCAACTTAGAGAGAGGTTCTGTGAGGTACATTGTACTGCCCAGAACTACCCTCAAGAAAGTTTGACATGCATAGCATGCTTTATAAATATGGTGGTGATTTCTCTGAAATTGAAGTAGTGCCCTTGAGGGGCTATTGCATTTGGGTATTTTATAATAATAGAAACATTATATTCATATTGAGCAATATTCGGGAGAGGGTGCTACACAGGGCCTATGTGTTTTCGCACCGGTTTAAATATGGCGCTGCTGACAAATTTCAAGATGATCAATTTGAAAAAAAGTATCTTAAAAAAATGAGCACGAAAGAAAAAGTATGAATGAGTCAGTATAGAAAGAAATAGTTTCAGCCCATTATGCGATGTCGCCGTAGGAGCCACTAGAGGTAATGCAGCCTGCTCGCGACCGAATGACATCAACCTCATGTCGATCGCGCCGAAAACGTGTTCGCAAAGGCAGACTGTCAAAAGCATTGCTTTTGATTAAGTTTCTGAGTCTAAAAAATTGTAAGCTAACTGAAAGGCACGTTGAAGAGTGCAGAGCTCTGCTTATTAGATCCTTTCGCTTATCCTGTGCTAGCAAGCACTTATAGATGATTGCTTGCGTGATCTTTTCAACAATTAGTCGCATAAAAATTGCATAGATGTTGTAGTAATAATACATAAGGCTTTGCATAAAGTAATAATGCTATAATAAAAATGTTTAGAAAACGGTGGCTTAAAAAAGGACTTATGATTTTTGATTGACAAACCGCTAGTCCGGTTATGCAATATGCACTTACTGCCTATTTAACGATTTACTACGAAGAAAAACTAGAGATTAATACCGTTCATCTGCAACACAGGTATTTGCATGTGTTTTTCACACGCCGAACCGTACAGTTACCGTGGGAACACGTCATATACCTATGAAACTTCCTATGTGTCAACACTGAACAAGTTCCCTTCTCTTGTGGGCTATCTAAGTGTCAATGAAACCGAGAGTGCTATACTCGTTTGCCAAATTCAGGGTGAACCTCTACTATTCAGGATGAAAGACTACGAAATTGTGGAGCTCTTGCTTGGAGCGGACCTCAGCATTTTACTTAAAATAAAGGGCGTCGAGGGCGACGCCGGTATAAGTTGGCACCAGTTGAGTTAGTCTTGGATGCGAATGTCATGATCCGACAACTGCTGAAGACGCATTCAGTGAAGGTTTCGTTTGCCAACTCGTGTGAAACAACAAATTTTCGAGGGTAGACATAATTCACGAAACGTGGGATATCGCATTGCTCATGATTCAGAGAAAAGGCACATTAGGAAACTATTCAACCAGGGATGGAACACTCGAGAGGTTCTCATACACACGCTTTCATGTCGTCTTGTCGAATAAATAAATCATTACAAAATAAGAATTCCCAAATATATAATATCTGAAATACAGCGGCCAAATAATCAAATTAACATAAGTCAATTTCATTTATAGTACAGTGGAGGAACCATATAGACAATATAAATATAGTAAGCAAATATTCAAAGTGATCCATCCTTGAATGGAAATTTTGCTGATATTTGAATTGCTCATTAGACGCATATTCAGTAAGTCTCAACCTATTGTAGCTTCTCTTATATCGGACAGAAAAAATACCAACAGCGTTTGTTGAATATATATATAATATATGTGTATATATATTGTTCGATGAAAGCATTCCATTTCAATGGTAGTAGTGTTTACACGCAGATAATTGAAATATCATTCTGTGTATATTCTGCAAATAGGTATCAAATAAAGTGACTCATTCAAATTGTTGCCATTTTTGTACAACAAGCTCTATGATGAAAACTAGGCATTTATTCAAATATGCAATGATATTTACAAGAACCTTATTGAGAATATTAGATGAGAGGTTCAGCTTACATCTTCCTTTCAGTAGTAGTTCATAAGGTCAGCTGGGTAGGAGTAAACGCTTCCGAGCCAACCCTGTGAAAAGATTCCTGAGCATAACATTCGTTTTATTTAAGCTGCATGGTGTGTTTCATAAATACCTCTTTCTTATAGTTTAATAAGATCCAGTAGGGATTTTCCGTGCTTTCGGAGCCTTTGCCATATATATACCGTTTATACAACTTGAGCAGTATTAGCAAGAATCAATTTTAATAGCACTAGTCCACAAATCTCCTTCATGATATGAAAGGAAATATTTTCAGCTTATAGTACATCCATCCACAACGATGTCGTTTAACATAAAGTAAACAGCAAAGAATCACACAATCAGAATTGTATTTCCAATGATTGTATATGCGATAGGTTACAAACGGCATAGTTCCCGGTTTCCAATGTAGTATTAAGTAGCGTCAAGCGGCATCTGTTTCGTCCTCATCATCATCTTCAACCTTGACATCCTCAATTTGCTCTTCAGATTCAGTGTCGACCTCTGCCTGAAACACGTCTTCAGTGTCATTGCGTTCGAGTAACTCGTCAGCTTCATGAATTATCTTTTCTTCCTTGACAGTGTGATTACTGCTTTTGCCGTTTGCCTCATGATAATTGGCCGCCGTGATACTTCCCTCCTTCGCATCGTGCCCGTTCTGTCCATCATCAATACCCTCCTCCTTGATTTCCACTTTGACTTTTTTACGCCTGACTTTAGGTTTTGGTTGACCCCGGTCGTCTTCTTCGTCCGATTTTTTCTTCTTTTTCGGTAATATAAGCCTAGGCAATTTCTCTACCCATTCGCCGGTATCCTTTTTAGTCGGATCGAGTTCGCGCCGGTACTCCGGAATTGTGTAGTCGAGTTTTTGAAAAAGCCGTTCCATAACCTCGTCGACATAGTAACCAATTTTCATATCGCATTTTTTATCTAGTTTCGTGTCCTGGAGATTTACAAGGACTATCTTTGCGTTGGGGTTGTTTCGTCGGGCCTGCCAAATTAAAAATGAGAAAACCCTTTGTAGGCTCAATCGTAGTCGGATATTTTTAGATAACACGAATCGTGATAGAACCACAAGCGTGTCTAGATTATATGTGTAATGGTACATCATTTCTGCCAGTAGATCAAGTACGATCCAATCGTGCAATACGAAACATACGATGAAGCTACGATAAACTACTGAAAGCTATGACAGTACCTGTAGAGGCATAGTGCCCACAGGCAATATTTGCAAAGTACTCCCGAGACAAAGTACAAGATCAGCCTGTCGACAATGCTCGAGCGAAGCATTAAGTCCTTCCGTTGGGAGTTCATCCTCCCAATCGAGTATCGAATCACGCAAGCGGCCACCCCGGCATGACTTCGCGTTGCGACCTAATCGTTCAGCTAGGCAGGGTTCGCCAGTTAGCTTTTGTCCAACCTGCAAATAACGGGAAATAGCAGACTACAATTGTTAGCTACATATTTTTAAACTAATTAATATAGTAGTTTAGATTCGCTAGAAGCGACTAAAGGGATGATAAACGACCGTTATTAAATTGTGTTGCCCATTTAAGCGAAAGAGAAGTGATTTCATGGTTAACTTCAAGCTCATTTCCTACCGTTCGAGTACACCTTCTCCGAATAAACTGTTTGCCGCACTTTTGGCATCGATCCACAAACATATTTCCGTGTACGTCCGTTAGTCGACTGAGCGGAAATCCACTTTTTGTGTGAAGACCGTCCACATTTTGTGAGCAAATAAACTGCAGCTTACCACGGCGCTACAGTAAACCAAAAGCACCGCTATTATTATCAGTAATTATTGTTGTTATTAACCAATGAACTCATCTTTTTAGAGCTCACTTTTAAAGAAAGCAAGTACGAGTTCTATTCGATGCAAATGAAGCCAATATTTTCCTAAATTTTCGTCAATTGTCATTCGACCAGGTTCGACTGTGTACTGAATAGTACACGGTTTCTGTATTCTAATTTTTGTAGTTAAATAGTCCATTGAGTAACTACATCAGTGAATATTAATGTAACGTAAACGTACCTGAAGTTCAACTAGGGCCATATGTGTCTTTGTCGGAATAGCGTCATCAAAAGAAATGTTGATCGTTGGCTTCTCACCCTGCTGCTCTTTTGTCCAGACGCCGTTTGGACCACTAAAAATAATACCAATACAACAGAATTGACGACAGTAAAGATATTATTATTACTACTATAGAAGGTGATTTTTTTAGCAAAAAGTAGTGCGAATTAAATTCGATTAATCGATATTTAACTGGACTGTTTCCTGCGTAATGTATACGAAAAGTAACAAACGTTTTGCTACTGTTCAAGACAAGAGCATTCGGAAGTAAAGTTGGAATTAAAAGATTAATGCATTCATTTCTTTGAAAGAGGGAGAAAATGCAGCTTGCTAAAGCAGTTTGAGTAATCTCTTTTTCTCTGCCCTAGGTCGTCTGGCACGATACTGTCTGTAGCATTTAATAGGTGACACCGTAAATACGAAACTAAAGTAAGAGGCAGAAGATCCATTAATAAGTTCATTCTCTAACTAGATTAAGAATATTAACACTGTAACTGAGGTTACTCATCCATTTAAACCAAATGGAAACTTTTTAGATTAATACAACTTTACTATAGAGATACTCTTGCCCAAAGTAGACGCTGATAAAAATAAAAACATAAGTGCCATTTACCGGAAATCCGGTATTCCAGCCGATGTCGAAATGCCCGCACCGGTGATAACCACCATATGCTTGCAACCTTGAACCCATTCTGCTAATCGCGATATTTTGTGTTCCAATTCCGCTTCGCTATCGAATACTTCAGGCTGACCGCATTTACCTGTGAATCACACATTGCAAAACCATCGAAACTTGCCAGGAGCGTATTTCCTTAAGACATGTTCGGTGTATTTACCCAAGCGTTCTTTGGCACACCCTATCCTCGAGAACGCGCTCTGTGAAATGGTTTAACTTCTTAACTCACGGTTCCATATATAATACGCTAAAACCTGAAGTTGAAATCGTCTAACAGAAACCCGTTCGTACCCGCAGTAAATAATTTTAAAATATTTTGAATTTTCAATCAAAAAATGCCATGCTATTTAATACTGAACAACCACCAATCAAGGTTGTTTCTCTATGATTTTCGAACAACAGTAATAGCCATTCTTTTCTAATCGTTACCGTCTACTGAACTGTTACGTTGTTACACAAATGCAAACAGTTCTTCTTTCTTTTGACTTCATTTAGGTCACCCAGAGAACACACCTTTGTACTCATAAGGTGAAAGGCCATTAGCGTAGTCACACGACATCTTAGTTAGTCTTATTCAGAACAAATAACCTGAAGAAATAAGTAAATTTGTAACACACATCACGCCACAATTCCCAGAGAAGTTTATTTTTCGTTCCCGTTCAGCGTAACACAGCACCTGAGGACAGTGGGTTATTGGACCTGCACACCCTGTTCGACGAATGCGCTGGAAACCGAAGCGCTTCTCATGTATTTGTTTATATTATTGACATCTGTGTTTGATGTTGCCCGTCATTCAGCCAAGAGCAGAAGCTTTGCTACATTTTGGCAAATCGTTATACTCTGACTAAATATGACATAAAACACTCCGAATCACAGTATTCCGGTAATGAATATTGGAGACGAAAAACTATCTATAAATGTGTTGTTAGCTTTTCCATTTTATAGCAATATTTCTAAAACCCTATGTAGCGTCAAACTTATAAATGGCATCATCGAACCTTCTATGTCGACTGAGGAATTAAAGATGGACGGAAGCAAGAGTAATTGAGAAAGAGAGTCGGCACGAGGAATTTGAACCGGCAAAAGCACAATTATATATCATTTCTAACAACTCGCCGTGCTGGCCAGAGTAGGTGTCAATAAAGGCGAGGTATATTGAGGGAAGTGGAAAACTGGTTGTACAAGCACTGGTTCAGTACATGGGGTCTATCTGAGGTGCCCGTGTGAAGGTTGCCTGCGCACAACGTACCTGGCTCGATTGACTCAACATGGTTGTTATGACGAAAGATCTTATTGTTTTAATGTGTCACGTAGTTGCGTGAGTAACAAAGGATGAGTAGATTGTTGTTATTATGTTTTGGCGTAAACGCACAGCTGTTCGCAGAAAACAAATAACAGGATTCGGTTAATATTTATTTGTGTTTACGGCAATAAAATTGTATTGTGCGAACGTATGAATTTACAACTCGGAATTAAAAGCTGATCGAAGGGCGATAAAACGAGTACCTTCACACTGCGCAGTTGCAGCAGTTTATGGGACAGTCTGGCAGAGTGTATTTGCGCGTGATTTTATTTGCTAGACAAATGAAATCGTCGGATTAATCACGACGAGGTGAGCATTGACGATTTTTTTTGCAGCAGCCATATAGATCATTAATACGTTATTATAAGGGCAAGTGAAATTTTCCCCACACTTGTGGTAAATAAAGAAAAACAAAATGTAAGGTACAAATGCTCTTCAATATCTGAATTTGAGCTTGATTAAAGAGAACAAAAGTTATGCTAACGAGAGGAAATCTTAACAACGGTGCTGCGGTTAAGAGTTTATATGCTATTGATAACATAGTGTTTTCTTTTCTCCAATAGTCAAAAACTGAAAAACGTATAATTTCGTAGGCTAACGTATGTTAACAATACTTTTACAATCTGCCATGATATTATAATTATGATGAGAGAATAAAGAAACCACTGAAAAAATTAAAGAATCATTGTTTCCTTTTATTTTCCAAATTGCCATGATCAGTTTGTCCAAACTCCAATAAGGTCCAATAAATGCTTTACTAAAGACAAAATAGCTTAGTTTGGGAAAATTTAAATGCGCTAGTCGTCTAAATATGTCTTTCTCTAAAATTAGGCCATGACACTCGCTTCTGCAAGATAAATGCAAAAGTCTTAATTCCAAGTTCAAGGATAGGGTGTAAGCCTGTCACAATTGAAAGCCTTTCTTGCGTATGTGTTGCCCCTTAACTATTTTACGTTCGTGGGAATTCCTACTTATCTCTGCCGTTTTATTCTTAGATGTCTTCCAATATCCAGTATCGTGATTTGATCTCATATCTTCAAACATTGGAGTCGGCCATCCTCAACCAATTATACAGACATCCCGCTACATGTCTCGCGGTCTTCCGGAAATTGCCTCCATTAGGTACGACCATTTCGAGGGTTATCCGACATTATTTAGATCTTATAGCAGTGCAAATGTTCGCAACAACACACATCGCAAAAGTCCATATCAGGTAAAGTTAAGTTTTTGTCACAAAATTCGGTAGTGCTGTAGTTGAAATAGGCTTTCATCCAAGATTAATGCTAAACATGCATCTTTTTCTTTCTTGAAGTTCCTTCTGAATATCTAGTCTCAGTTGTTAATTTGTAAGCTTTCTTTTCTGCATTTTTGCCTCGCGGGCAATGCAATACGGTGGAATGATGAAAACATTATGGTCGATTATGGTAAGTCACTTGAGCTTTGTAGGACTGCAGCTTAGGGCTTAGACACGCGCACAAGGCAAAGAGTTCGTGGACTCATGACGACGTGACTGGCCCAAACGCAGAAACTTATTTTAGACAGGAAGCTATTAGTTTCTAACAAGAATGTACGGTTTTTTTTTACAGCTCGCCATTACGTGATTCGTCTATTGTACATTCGGCAGGCTGTGCCACAGGCCGTAGTTAGCTCATGGTATGTGCAGGATGCAGTTAAGGAAAATATTGCCGCTCAAGATGCCCTTAAAAGCCTGCACCTTTTAAACGAAGTTAATTTGCCAGGTCTGTTTTTAACAAAGGACCATACTTAGTAATATAAATGAATATTCGTAATTAATCGACATAAAATTCATATATATATAGTAGTTTGAAAATTTTCAATTTTATTTTACTCCCTTGGTACTTTAACAGATGTAAAATAAGCCCTTGTTGTTGGTGATGGTGATATTCAGCAGCTGAAATGTTTTAAAATTGGTGGAATGTCTTGAGATAAAATATTTTGAAGATGAATAGAATTTCGGTAAAAATTCTCTATATTTTGCATTTTATAACAGTAAGGGCACAAACGTTGTATAGCCCCGAAACAAATGTGCTGTCTATAATCAAGATGTGTTACCGGAAGATATGGTTCCCTCGCATTCGCTCCGCACGTTTCGACGCGAAGGAATGTTTCTTGTAGTGGTCGGTTAATCACAAAAAAATTGATGCAAAAGTTGAGCAAGACCGAGACATGAATAAATTATGACATTATCAAGGAATTTAATATTCATCACTAAACTCTCTTAATCCATTTGAAGATCTCTACAGAAACGCAACAAAATCTAGCCATTTGCAATGGATCACGGGGTGATGAAAAATAAATTACATACAACAATAATTTACAAATAACAAAAATTTTCTGCACGATCCGTGGCAAAGCTCGGGTTGACGCCAACGAAGCCAGTGCTATGCGTTTGGCCGTCGTGATTGAAAAAATTGCGCATCACGAGATGGTACCGTGTGCTAAAACGATTGGTTCGGGTTTTTACTGTCAACGACTAACACGCATATACATAAAAATTTACGTTTTATTATTTATAATTTACGTTTACAACATAAACAATAATATTCATTTACAGGTGGCTTGCCCGGTTGGATGTTGAACATCAACTTCCAAGAAAAGCTGAAAGAAGCTTTAGCTGGCGGTGGGGATCCCTGGTTAGTGTACGGAGAGTTGGACAAAGATAAACATGGACGCGATGCGAAGTTCTTAGATCAGTATGCCAAAGAACGGTGGGATTGCGTACTTCACTACATGGTTGGATCCGAGGTAACGCGCAAACTGAAGTCCGATTTTGCTTGTGACCTTGTAAATTGTTTCAATTAATTTATCATATGGGTTTTTATCATATGGGTTAAAGACATGCTACTTTGCTTAACTGATTATTCATCTTTCCGGTAAGAGAAGTCATTAACCAGTTAAAGTTACGTGAAGATTATTAACACTGTGGCCACGCTTTTGTCTGATTGTCTTTATGTTGAAACCTCTTACTCGTTTTCTTTAATAACAAAATAAGTATTCAAATTAGTTTTGCACAATTGGAGATGCCTCACAGGTACCAGCGGAGAGCGGAATCTCTCACGACGCAATCCGGATTCTTCTTCACTCAGGACTTATGCGGCAGGATGAAACAAATGCAAACAAGAGCCTAATCACAATGGAAGGCTTTCAGTTTTTATTGATGGATACTGAAGATCAGGTGTGGTACTTTATCCTGCAATATCTGTCGACCGTCGAGGGACGTGGCATCTCCCTTGTGGAGTGTCTGCAGTTTATTTTTCAACTGAGTTTCCTCACACTTGGTAAAGATTATAGTATTAAAGGAATGAGCCAACCCCTACTCGTGTTTTTGCAACATCTGCGCGAGTTCGGCCTGGTTTATCAGCGTAAACGTCGTTCAGGACGGTTCTACCCAACACGACTAGCAATTGGTTTGGCGTCAGGCTTAAAGGAACTGGACGCAAACAAGGAACTCACCGGATCGAAGGATGAAGAACAGGACCAGGGCTATATCATCGTCGAAACCAACTATCGAGTGTACGCGTATACCGATTCACCACTGCAGGTTGCGTTAATTTCACTGTTTTGCGACCTCTCGTACCGCTTCCCTAACCTAGTAGTTGCCACGTTAAGCCGGGAAAGCGTTCGACAGGCGCTCAAAGGCGGAATTACGTCCGCCCAGATCACGCACTTCCTCAAGACGCGAAGTCATCGCGTTGTCGCTGACCGTGAAGAAGGCATCATACCGATGACGGTGTCAGATCAGCTACATTTATGGGAGAAAGAGCGAGATCGTTTCAAGATGACAGAAAGCGTTCTCTATTCACAGTTCCAGACACACGCCGATTTTGAGATGCTTCGTAACTATGCAAACGATATGCATGTATTACTGTTTGAGAACCCGCAACGAAGGCTAATGGTCGTAAGCAAATCGGGCGATAACGACGTTCGACATTACTGGAAGCGTCATAAAAAGGAATACGATTGATTTATGATGTTAATATATAATAGTTATTGATGTCATGAACCTAAATAAACAGTTCAAGCGATAGGTATAGTGCGTCGGAATGAAATACTCCACAGAAAACGCGATTTTGTTGGGTATAGTTCACTGATTTAGTGTCATTAATGCTAAACAATAATAAATATGCTACGTAACAATGAAAACGCATTTTAAAAAATTTTTCAAAAATGCTTTAATGTTGGCTCACGGAGCCACGTGTACTTGACATCGTGCTTGGTACTTCTCCTGATAGTAGTATTTGTTTTTATATCACGTACTTAGATTCTGCCTACGGCATTATAGAATGCTTTTAGAAACAACGCTGTTTTTAGGGAAGTTGTATCTACTCGTAATTGGCTTTGCTATTGTTAGGGGACATCTATATACCACTCCGTGTTTCACTGTAGATTAACTATACTTTCAGAAAAATCCACCATTTCTAGTCATGAAAGTCATAATAACTAGAACTGACTAACCGCACCACTTTAAAAATTATACCAGCTTAAACCTTCCAAATCTAGCCCGTTGAACGGTCGTGGATTCTATAAATAATATAGTGAGAAGTACAGTCGCCATGTATTTGATGGGAAAAAATTGTAAACTCATATGCCTCGTCTCAATTTGTCTCACCAGCTGTTGTTCGAAGAGAATGATTTTATTGAGCCCCCTAATGAAAAACAAGTATCAGGGCCAACTTTCAAACTAGCGTTCTTATAAAAATCTTATTTATCGAGAACGCATGGAGACTAAATCAATGGAGGTTGTAGAAGCTTCGTGGGAAGTTTCGCAAATTGTTTAATTTAAATAATGTTAAATAGGTTGTGTTCAGTCTCGATCATAATGATAATAAGGTGATAAAATTATTTTAAATTCTATTAGAGAACAATTTATAGAAATAGTAAAACATAACTTACTCTACTAAACCTTTGGTGAAGAGTGGAATAGATACAGGAATATTCGCTTTGCCGCTATTTTTCGTAATATTTTTTTGTTAAAATATGTTAAAATATTTAACACTTCGTAAAGTTTAAAAAAGTCTAGGTTGGTATAATTATCTATTTTACATTATTTTTCTTCAAGGTATTCCTATATATATATATATATATATATATATATATAGGTATATTCTATCAAAGTATTCCATAAAAATTACTTTAGTCGTTACGTTTTAAAATAAGCTCTCGTAAATGACCCGGTTGATTCTACAATGTATCCGTTTTATGCCCAATAGAAGCCGTTATGACTTGAGTATTTGAGTATGCCATCTGAGCCCGCTACTAACTAATTCGATCGATATAATATAATTAATTTCGATAATTAATAACGATCGAGCAACTGCGGACCCTGGCTATGGCTACTACGTCTGTTATTAAATTTAGAAAGCGCCAGCCGATGTAGCAAGCCAGTTGGACTAATGCATCTACTTTTTGCGGACGAGTTTCCCGTTTAATAATATAGTCATAAAATGCTCTGCTTATCAAAGGAAACATTCATTCCCTTTTGTTATAACAAGCTCTCAGATTAGTACGTAATGGAGTATGTTGTTCTTCTCTCTCATAAGTGACGACTGTTATGCAAAGAATTTACCAGGTCTTGTGCCCCTGTTTTTAGACCTAGTAGTAAAGCTAGTTCACCGATCAGCTAGTTTCAAAGCTACCGTGAAAACTCGAACAACTTTCATGCTATGGAAAAGTGGCCATAGCATATTCCCTTTTGAAGGAATATTCCTTGCATAAAACTGGCGAAGTTCCAAATTAATTTTACAATGGAACCTTTATAAAGGAGCCACAGACGAATAGCTCCGTATTAACGTGAATGCTGCTATAGCACACGTGACGCTACAGAACAGTAAAACAAAATCCACAAGATCTTATGTAAGAATATGGAGAATCTAGTTACGGATCCTCTGGAAGAACTTTGAAGAATTTAATGGTATCAGTGCTGATTGGTTAAGTTGTAAAAACACCAGAATCAAATATGGTAGATAACATGCTGCCGTATCGAAGACGTATTTTGCAACTTACGTCACCATATTTCGACATGTTATTCTCTACTTTTCCAGGTATTAATCACGCGACGGAAGCGTAGTTCTGTGCATTTATCCAAACAGCGGCACGACTTGTACTAAACGCATCATTTCCTACCCCTTGCATCATAGCATAAAAAGACATGACATTGTTTTTTTTTTATGCACCCTGTTATATGGCTATAATCACTACCCAAATATTATTGTAAATATTTGTTGAGAAGCGTGCTCAATAAAATGTTTCTAAGATGGACTTGTGAAAACGGCTATAGACGATGCTAGTTTATAATTTTTTATTGTTAAACAGGCAAAAGATAATGATTTATTCACTATAGGTCCACGTAGCGTTCTGCTGTATTATATGGAATCGGGCCCGGGTAATAGCCTCTTCACGAGTTATAGTTAATTTGAAAAGCGTGCAGTAACAATAATTTACGCACGGTTCTCCAAGGCCAACTCGACATATCTGAAGCTAACTATCGTGGTTACGCTGGATTCTAGTACAAATAATAATCCGTGTATAATAAATTCCAATCCATGATCATGAATATCCGCATATATCGATTGTCTAAACTATGCATTATGTCGTTGCAATTTCTTCTAAAAGGAACTCAACATCTGTGTCACGTCGTTGATGACAACAACATATAGTCCCACAAGTGCAAAAATTAGATACGATCCGTCAATTTAACTTGACAAATATACACATATGCTCATTTGTACTGTTTTAAGGCTTTCAATTTCCCTGTGAAATTACTAATGACGGCATGAGGTTTCATATACGCTCAAAATGCCTCAAAACGCATATAGCCGCACTTTACCTTTATATATATATATATATATAACTTCCATATGTCTTGTGCCACTATGTATGGTAATTTAATTTGAATAATTTGCCTGTGTTTCCGATAAAGGATAATAGTTTTTTTCAAAATAGGATGTATGATAACGCCTGAGGAAGGAAAGCGTTACTTATTATTCTGATTATTTGATCAACCGTGTCTCCGTGATGCTGTGATGGTAACGTGTTGCTCGCGAAACCGAAAAGACACGTGCTCGTCTAGGTCCGAAAGAAGGCGTAAGCACATGCTATTTTACGGTGGGAACCAGCCTTGTGAAGCACTGCTAAACCGCGGTACGGGGTGCAGAACTCGAGTGTATTCTATTTACTCTACTTTAGGTTAGCTTATCCAAAGTTTTTCTGCTTAAAGCAGCTAGAGCAATAGATTACGCAGTGTATGAACGATTAGAATAAGCATGTTGGCATATCGTACCACGGGCATATTCGTTTCTTGCAGTCCACAAATTTCTTGCGAGATACAAGAGCACTATAATTTAACCAATTAGTGCTTGATAGAAGCAGACGGTTGGCAACACGAATGAAAACTTATCTTGGCTATACAAGTTTGTATACGGCAAGTGCATAAAAACATCTGGATATGCTGTTCTACAGCCGATGATGCAATAAACTATCCGTACTATACGAAGTCTTATGAAGCTAGTGCAAATCGCTGGATTTTTACAATGTGATAAATAATTGAACTAGCAACGCCTATATACTGCATACCAGATCCACTCTGCCCCTCTGCTGTAAGGTGATGAGTGTAATTTTTTTGCTTTCATATATTTTGTGCCACTATATATAGTAATTTAATTTGAATAACCAATGTTTATATCTTCCCGCAGTGTGCAGTTTGCAGTATTCTACAGAAATTGTTGTAAGTAACCGAGTTTTTTGAACCAGTGAAGCTATTTTCATTTATTATAGTTAATAGAACTTCAGCATTGTTAGCTAGAGACAAAGGTCAAATACGCGAAAACGCAGCACCGAGAACCTCAGTCCCGAGCAAAGTATGTCTACATGATAATAAATTCTCATAACGTAGTCGTTTCGTATTACTTCGACCAGACACAGGCGTGTGATATGAAAGCGTTTTTCAATGTGAATCACCTGTGAAATAGATCTTACCATCCACAGCTAGAATATGACCTTTAATAAAGGTGGCTGTTGAACACGTCATGCGTTCTTCTAACAAAATTAATTATAAGAATTTGTTAATAATAACAATAATTTCTGTAGATACGTTTGTATTTACATTTAAGTATATATATAATATTTGTATTTAAATCTAAATTTGGGCATTACACTTTTTTTACTATGGTTTCCCCCATATTTTTTTATTTGTCAGTATTGGGTATATAGTAATTATGTAGAGCATTTAAACATTTGGGTTGTTGTTGCTTGCTTCTTTGAAATGACTTTCAGCTAATTCGCTCTAATGGTGTAATGAAGGAAAACTTTAGCATATCTGACCCTTTCGGCCTAGCCGGGGGAGTCCTCTGTTATAGTGAAACATTTCCTACAAATTATGCGGAGATATTATTCATGTAGGTAACATTTATACATCATATACGATTTTACTGTTACTGCTATCGTTTACTTTAAATCTCGGGTTCAAAGATCTTGTATGCTATTGTTGCCCGGGTACAGTGTGGTACAGCGCCTATTTCGGCCATGCTCAAACATATTCAAAAAGTTTGAAAAAAATCACTCAGAAGACCCGAGATGCTGCTTATAGCGCGCTCATTGTCTACGAGAAGATACAGGCCGATGCTTGTAGCCCCAGTTTGCACGATTTGAAAATTGCCTTCCCTCCAAGGCTTAGATTTTACCCGTCATAATAATGCTCTGCAAGATGGATGGCCTTATCTATTCGAAATCCATTATTCTAGTGGGTACGATTTGCTGATACAAAAATTACTATACATTCTGTTACTGTTGTATGATTAACTCAACCAGCAAAGAGACGGTGCCTAAATATTTCCTTTATGAAATCGTTGAATCGAATCTACTGGCTCACGTCTGTACACTACTGATGTCAAATAGGCGTTTCTTTGTCATAATTATTGATTGCGCCATATAGCTCGAGTGAAGTAAACTTAATCCAGATAGAATGCACATGAGAAACTGAAGCTAAATGGGTGGTACGTATGTCAGAATTGGCTGGACGTTGATTTGACCGGCCAATAGTAATTATTAATAATGTGCTCATCGTCAATCAAACGTAGATCAGGTAAAGGAGGTGTGGCATTTGACAGTTATTGATGCAAGACTCAAAACGGAAGTAAATTAGACTTAAATCTCAATAATAATAATAGTAGCAGTACAATAAAAAGCAACTACAGCGTATCATCTTGCCAGATGTGGTTTCCAATTTAAATTAAGTTCTATATCATTCATTAAGTTAGTTCAATTTAAGTTCAATTTATCTCTCATTTACCAAACCTATCAAATTATCTATCTTTGAAATAACATTATGTACAGGTCGACATCTTTGAGTAATTGAAAATCTTCTGGCGAAATGAGCGTTCTGAAGATGCGTCAAACCACAAATCCAACTTTCTTCCAATTTTTATGAAGCATTGTCCAAATATGAAAACCATTTGCGACATAGAATTTGTTCATAAGGCTCAACTGAGTAATATATATATATATATATATATTAGGAGCTCTTTACGGTTTTCGCTCTAGCATAGGATTAAGCTAACATAAACGTAGATAGTTTTACTTTCCAGGGCTCATAAAGGGATATGCAGGCGTTAATCTAAATACAGCTTGCTGGTTTAAGCCGTAAACGAGCATATTTGAACACCTACCTTGAAAACTTAGTTTCCTTGGTCTAAGTTAGGTACTGGAACAACTACTTGACATTCGAGATAAAGAAGAAGTTTCAGAAATGGATTAAATCCAACCAATTTATTATCACCGGGTGCTTGATTGCTTCAGAATAATAAATTGACACTTTACGTATGGAGAAGAAAACTTTAGAAATAGAATAGTTCCGAGCCGGAAGGTTCTAAAATTACGCACATGTCTACCTGAACAGATTATCCTTTGGTGGTCTATTTAATAGTGAGGACTATAAGAATTTGCCTGGCAGCTTCGATTGGGATTCGCATAGTAGAACTTACGAACCGCTCCTGCAACTACTACATTTATGC